TTTTCCTATATTTGCATTATATGACAATGCTTTATGCCAAATTTCAAGATTCTGAGTTTACGGGAAGTATCCTGTAGGTTTTGATTCCTTTGCGAGTGTCGAAAATTTGTTGAAAATATCGACATAATCGGCTGTATCTTTTGATTGGCTTGGCTTAGAAGTTTGATATTTTCACAGCTTAAAGGGACAATAGACCTGAGTATTTCATGTGCTTGATACGTTCACGCGTTCTTGAGATAAAGGGTCTTGACAGACGGACGGACGGACAACAAAGTGATCCTATAAGGGTTCCGTTTTTTCCTTTTGAGGTACGGAACCCTAAAAAGCACTTATACGTCCCAGTATTAACCCTACCACTGCTTCAGGACAATAAATGGGCCAGTGTAGAGAAGAAGCAGCTACTTAAAAGCTCTATTAGTCTATAACTTGATTAGATAGTTGGAATAATTGATTTGTATACTTTACACTTTCCACAAGTAACTTCAGGTGTTAGGTAGTTATACAAGTTTGTAAAGATCAATGATAAACCCTGTCGGCCACGGCGTAGCCTATTGACCTCTAGATTGAAGCAGATTGTGGACGTCTTGGAATTGGGCGCCTAACCTTCAGTGGTGGACATCAGACTTTCAGTTTAATTGCAAAATAGAACTTGGGTCATTCCATTATCGCGGGTGCAAAACTTAGACGCCTGTTTTATTTTAACCTAATTAAATAATAAACATTTTCAATTAAATTAATCTATGAAAGACTACATTTTAATATGTTTACTTTATATTAATTAACAAAATCTCCAATATGACACTTTAAAAGCTAGGACAAAGGTTCAAATTGCCATCGCGGGTGCAACAAATTTGACTTTAGCTGTAGAAGCGCTGTAGTTCATACCTGGAATGCCTGAATGGCCTTTTAAAGAAAAGGCTTATAAGTATTTTTCATGAAACTTGACTGGATAAGAAATGAATTGGACGGGAGTTACGATAGCTTTTGTAATTAGTATTCGAGCATAGAAATCAAAAACGTTTATCAAGAAAAGCGGCTGACTTAACTTTCAGAAATGTGAATTACTTTTGTGTTATTTCATGCTCTATCGTAACTGGTATACTTTAAGAAATACAAGGGAACAAGTACAAGTTGATAAAGAGTTTCTTTTAGTATTTTTTTACTGTTATTGAAAATTACACTTCTAAAAATATACTTATAGCCTAAATGTACTTATTTCAGTAGACGTGTGCCTAAGTGAGCTTTGTATATGAAACAACTAAATGTAGAGCCTTATAAAGTATAGATTTCACAAAACTTCAACTGGTTTTATACTAGCAGTATTTACTATTTATTTTCTTGCCTGGCGTGCTAATTCGACTACATTGTTTCACATTGTTTGTACTTTGTAGTGTGGTGAAGTGCCGCGTGTAACTCCACCACGCACGCTAATGACTGCAAATACACAGCTCTCTGATTTATTTTTAGGATTGCCGCGGAAAAATAAAGAACTTTATATTTTTTGCATAGCTTTATGTGATTTTATTTTTGTTTTAAATGAAAATTTACTTTTTGTAAATAATTTTCTTTCCCTATCTAACCAAAAAGCGTGAAAAGCGCGCCCTTTTTTCAGGAAAATTCATAAAATTGCATACCCACTAGCTGCCAGGTAGGTTGTGGTAGTAGTGGGTGGGTAGCTAGCTTCTTTGTAACCTTGGTATTTTGGCTTTATGTCTCACCACCTACAATTTCCTATTTACTACATAAGGTAAAAAAATTGCTACAAATGTATTTGGTGTTTGTAGGCGTTCTGTAAACTACGAGTAATATCGATCTACATTATGACGCACGAAAGTTTTTTGCTTTTTATTAATCTTTCTCTAAACTGTTCTGTTCCATGTAATTATAATTTGATTTGCATAAGAGGGCTGTTAACTTTAACATTGAAGTGTTTTTAACCAAGCAACTTTGAAAGCAGTAATTAATAGCACGTAATCGTATGAAAATTACAGACCTGTTAAAATTATAGAACATTTCTCATTCTCATTTTGTTTCATCGAAAGTAAAAGGGTTATCTTTTGTCAACATTCAAGCAATGTTTCGTTAAAAGAGTTTATCATATGTCAGCATTCCAGCAATGTTTCCTGGATGGAGCACCAATGGAAGGTTACCCGTAAATTTATGTAAACACTTGACCTTTCCCCACTTCAGACGGTCGCGGTGGTTAAATGTAAATTCTATTTCGGTGCGAATTAGCATTGTACACATAAAAATCATTTATCACCGTCGCCCACTCAGTTTATGATGACGAGGGTGGGGTTTTCAGGACTTTTTGTTTTATAATAATTTCTAAACAAAGGCACATTATTTTGTTTGAGATAGAAGCAAGATAGAAGTAGAACAGACTGACCTTTTATTTATTCTACCTTCAATGTCTAACTATACCATACCTATACCATGTTTTGATTTTCTCTTAACTGTAACTGAGGCGTGAGCTGCGTCTAGTAGGATATTGGCTTTTTTTTAATGCTGGACAAGGCGTTGTTGTGGTGTTGTAAAAGATTTGTTGCCAAAAGTACAGTATGGGACAATTAATATGCTTTTATTGTGTCGCATAAGTGCATGGACTGTGGTCTCGAACCACTAACTTTCAGGCAGGCTAAATTTGCAAAAACAACCTCCTCCTACCTTTCAAACAAGGCTTAGGTGGTTGTTATTACTTACTTGTACATGTTGATTGAGATTATTCGGGTCTCTATCCTCCAGCGCTTCCCGCTCGCTCTCCGGCTTGGCCGCCATTTCTCTCGGCTTCGGCGGCGACAGTCGCTCAAACACCGGCTCCAACGGGACCACAGTTTCCGGCGGCGGCGTGGCCAACACCGGCGGGGTGGTCAACACCGGCGCGGTTGTCAATACCGGCGGCGCCGTCGGGGGTTTGTAGACCGGCGGCGCCGGTTCTGGGATCTCCGGTAACAGCTTGGCTTTGTACGCGCACGCTATGCACTGCCGAGACGAGGTCCTTGTGAGAGGGACGGCGGACCCGCCGGACCCTAAAGGCACGTCTTCAAATGCCACGGTCGGTGAGTGTGTTTGCTTCTTTAGAATAGTATTTGTTATAAAATAAGTTCAACTGTTTTCAATTTTGTTGTTCTTTATTTGCGTAAAAGTTTAGGCTTTGTGACGAGAAATTATTAAATCACTTGAATGGATTGTAAAGTTCGTATATTTTATTATTTTGATCTACTTCTGATTAGTTTGAATCTAATAATTATACTCCGTTTTGAAAATCAATACTGCTTTTTGCAGTTAATTAATAACGTATGTAAACTTAATAGCACACTACCACAACAATAAAACTAATTTATTCCAGCTAGAGCGTGTCCGATATGAAAGCTCGTACTAAACTGAACTTTCCCTCCAAAAGCTTTCTATTATTTTTCACGCATGCGCTTTGTTATCGAAAGAGTTTGTATGTTTCGTGTACATTGATCAGTTTTAGTGAAGTTTATAGCATAAATAGTTTGTTGAAGGAGCAGTGTAATGTGTTATTATGTTGTGTTCGTAGGATTTTTTATTATTAACGCTTTTCAGGAGCTTTCAGTAAGAGCGTTGACCGAAGTGGAAAAGTTCAGGCCTAATGGGCTTTTGATTATCGATGGGTAAACACCACGTTTACTTATGACTTTTCTTGCTCTACATTTTTGACAAGGAATGTACCTAATGTGTTTACATAACAAGACTAATGTGACTGGACATTTCATACGTCATTATTTATTCAACCGAAAATTATGCTTACTTTACCAAAGTTGTTGTCAAAATATAATTCGTAATCTAAGCGATTTTAGATGAAACTTAGTTAATTGTTTATTTCAAGCTTGTAAAATTATACACATTATCAAAAATACAAATGTTTATTACATGTTGAATAAACAATATCTTATGTACTATTTATATACATGCACCAATTCGTTATATTTATGTACACTTAGGCGTATAGTTTATATAAAACATGAATAACATGGGATATGCTTTGACGATTAATATTCGTGCTTTATACAGATATAATTTATACATGATTGAGCGACTATTTAATATTTCGTAAAAAGTTTCTTACAATGTATGCGTATATTGCACCTGTTATTATTGTAAAACAAATAATCATAACTTACTTATTGTTTGCATCAGTAAATGAGTATGTGTTTCAATTATTAACATTATTACTTTATTATTTGGCTGTCGAGTAAAGATTGACATTACATTATTTATTGTAATAAACCTATTGTTACACGCAGACAATGAAACTAATTTCTAAATGCGTCTTTGATATTCATAGGTAAAACCATAGCAGTTATAACCTTGCTTTTGTAATACTTGAAATGTGCCATCAACCCAAATTATTTGACAAAAATATGTCTGGAACTCTACGAATGGAGAAAGTTGGTAATTATTCGTTTAGTTAGAATCGTCGCCAAAAAAAGAATAGAGTAATGCCCGTTTTCACCATCAATCGCTAATTTTTAAGTGACCCCTATGTAAACAAAATTCCTGTTATTTGTTACCATAAGGGGTCACTTAAAAATTAGGGATTGATGGTGAAAACGGGCATAAGTGTCTTTTTCTGTGATGTGGATTTCGACACGCGTGCGTATCTAGTCCGCATGCGGGCGGCATTTTATTATTTCATGCACATTTTTCCAATACGCGGGCTACACGCACGCAAACAGCAGCGTGGTTATACGCACGCTACAAATTAGAGAGACCAGAATCCGCACGCGTTCTGAAATCCGCATCACAGGAAAAAGGCACTCATCATCATCATCATCACCATCTCAGCCATAGGACGTCCACTGCTGAAAATAGGCCTCCCCCAATGCTTTCCATGTTGCCCGGATGGTAGCGACCACTAAACGGCACTAAATACGCTTAAATATCCAACATTTCGATCTCGCGATATCTTTTCGAACACTATCTTTGCTTGGAAAATGACCTTTCATTTGTTTTATTTGTTCTATGAGTGATTGGTATAACCTGCGTTGGGCCAAACAAAAGTATTCATTAGCGATTGCGTGGTCAGGCTTGGCGTCGTTAACCCACTTGCCGCGCCTGGTCTTCCACACCCCTTCAGGGGTGCCAGTTTTATGACGATCATATTTCATGTCACAACAAAATATTTATGTATTTTTTACTCGTATCTATTGCTACTTAGTTATTTCGTACCTAGTGAATTAATTTAGTTTATGAAAGAGTTTTCAATTACATTGATATAAAGCAGTAAACAATCAAAAGCAGGCCTGCTGCAAATTTTGAAATTGATTAATGTAATTTACGTTTGGATTGGATTTGCAACCTTTTTCCATTAACATTATGATTTCGATTCGATTCGATATGTACTAAGGATTGGCACCCCTAGCATATAATTTACTGTGTAGAGGTATAAAAGTTATGATTGATCGGCCTGAAAGGTTACTCGCAGCCAAAAGGTAACAATATTAATCCTCCTGAATGTCTTCATTGTGTCGCTGTGAAATATTATTCGGAAATACTTTTCCACCTTCATAGGCGTTTCTTAAGAATCTAATAACATTCGGATACAATCAATACAGTTCGATAATACGTTATCTAAGTAATAGCACCTGATTTAATACGTATATTTCTAGTCTATATTAAAGCTTGAGTAATTATAATTATTACATTGGAAGACGAGAGCTATTGCATTGTTTATGATCGCTTAAGCTAAACTTGACTTATTACAAACGAATATACGTATTTTTACATTAAAACTTTACTCTAACTATACAGAAAACGACATTAAAGCACTTATCGGAGTCAAAATTAGCAACAAAAAATAAATTCACGAAAATTAATAATTAAATAGATCTAACTACGTCTAAGTTACATAAGATAATGTTAAATACAACTAACTCATTAAAAGTGGTGCCTACGAGTATATAAACAAACAAAACGAGCGACCGGAGCATTTACAGGTTGACTGACAGAACTGACCCAAATGTTGAGTGACAGGGCACGGGGCTAGCGTGACGACTGCAGGAAATCCTTTCGTTTTGCCCGCCTTCCCTCATCAACTTTCGGTTCAAATATGACCTGTTTCTAACCAAGTCTGCTAGTTTAAAAACTTTTTACTAAGTTTTGTTTTCAATTCTTATTTAGACAAATATGAACCCTTTAGAATTGAGCAATATGAGTACATACCCCAAGTGACATAACTATTGTTCAGTTGATGCAGTAGACAAATTCTTAACTATCTAACTCGAGCCAAGACAGTTCTGTGATGGATTTACTCATTGATAAATCTGTTCGACACTGAGTAAATACAGTTCACGTTTTTCTTTCGTCGCCATCGCGAATAATTCAGACGTCCTCACGCGTCGACAGTCGGTCAACGAATGGCGACGGTGGCCCGCGCCGGCCCGGACGGCCGAAGAGTGGGGACGATGGCGGGCTCCTCCGGCTCCTCTTTAGTTGACTCTCTGCTGATCCCGTGGGCGTGTGGAGGGTTACTTTAAATACAATTTTATAATTATTATAAAATGTCTCAAAGAATAGTACTTTTGATAGACTTATTTTGAAAAGGTCTAAAAAGGATTTGAGAAGCAAAATTTGAGTCATGCTCTGGAATAGAAAGAGGCGAGAGGGTCTAATTTATTTATTACAAAATTAAATGAGGATATTTTTAAAGTAAGATTACATCTAAGAATGTTTCAGGTTAGAAAGTTTCTAAAAGCTTTGGTTCTACTGGCGTTCTACATAAAAGCTTAAGGACTTAAGGGAATCAAGACCACTAGATATTTACATGGGCGGATTCAATAAATTTTATCATGTTACTGTAGATTTATACAAATTACAAAATTACCTTTTTGTTAATCATACCTTGGAATAAATTACTGGCTAAAATGGGCATTTTTCATTAGCATTGAGGAATTTTAATTATGCATCATTTTTGATGTCTGATACAAATTATTAGGTAAGGGTCCCATGCAAGGAGGAGGAATAGAATCCGCCCAAGGATCTTATCAAACCGGGGTCAAATAAGCACAAGCACTCACCGTATGCGTCGCAAGGCGTTAAGGGTTAAGCATAGCGCTACAAACCGCTATCTCACCACCTTGGGGAAATACATTCATGTTAATTAACATAATTAATATCAAACTAATTACGTCATGACCCCACTATGCGTTGTAGTGACGTTTTAAATGGAGAAAATCGCAATAAACCGGGGAACTTTTCTTTATTGTGCATAAACGCATAGTGTGGTCGTGACCTTTACTTTGCAGTCACATTCGCTGCCAGAAATGCCACTATTATAATTTGACTGCGGCTAGCAGATATTCATAAAAACCCATTCGTCAACCGTGGATACAAGCGATAAGTCGTAAAAAATCGACATATTACCTAATTTTAACATTCTCATGCGTTTTGGGAGAGTCTTGTCACCAAATAAGGAAGTCATGCAAAATCATCACCTGATGTACTAATCAGGTCATAGTTAGTTAACCGGCAACAGTGTTCAGTTCGTCTTGTATGTAAGCCATATTACAGGCATTTAAACAAATCTCAACATAGCTTACCCATAACCACTCCATGGCAATAGAAGTGACGGCAAGAGTGGAAGTGGCGTAAGAAACTCGGGCACAATATAAGTAGGAATACGTACCTACATTATTTTGAGAATGAGTATTGTGCAGCTTTGCTTGATATAGCTCTCATATTTACCATTAATTATAAGTTTATGACGGCTACTTTATGAAACTAGTTTGTGATCATTCTTAAACAAATTTGGCTTCTGGCGTTTTGCATTAAAATCACGCGCGAACTACTCACTAACTCGTAAAGAGAAGTAATATCATTCGATTATTTCTAGCCAATTCTGTAACAAAAGTATTATTGATATCTCATGGAGCATTGGAGCTCATGAAGTACTTTCGGAATCAGTAAACATAAACACTTTTTCAATATATTGTATAGTTTAGAAATAATTGAGTAAGATCACTTATCGTTTCCACCCTGTAGAATCAAAGTGGCTGAATTAGTTTACCTATCTATAGTCTGGTCTGCGAGCACGTAGAATTTTGTCCAATGACCCCAAGCTACCCATCCTTATCGCTCGCGCGTAATTATGTTGCTGTCGCGCTCGCACACTCACTGCGGGCGCCCGTCGCACAGTCGCGACAGCAATATAATTACGCGCGAGCGATAAGGATGGGTAGCTTGGGGTCATTGGACAAAATTCTACGTGCTCACAGACCGGGCTTTAGGTATACTGTAATCTTCAATGTACCTGATCTTAATAGGCTGTCGGAGGCTGAGCTCGGAGCCGGAGGTGGAGGGCGAGCGTGCGGCGAGCAGGCGCGGCGGGCGCGGCGTGCGCGGCGAGCGTCCGCGCGCGAACTCCAGCCGGTAGTTGTCCGAGCGCGGGCTGCCGCTGAACGCTTCTACTTCCACCGCTGAGGAGGAATTTAAGGTTAAAACGCATGTTCAATATTCTCAGTCAGTTATCTCTTCTCATCAGGACCTACGACCTCATGAAGATAGCTGCTGTCAGTGGTTGGATAAAAAAAATTGGAGATCGTGCTTTGTGGTTGTCTGCAAGTTCCTACAATAGTAGTTTACTGTAGGCTAAAACTTAGCATTGGATGCATTGGAGATGTGGTGCTAGAGACGCCTGCTAAAGATCCCGTGGACGGCATTTCGCACCAATGTATCCATCCTCAAAGAGCTTCATGTTAAAGACAGACTATCGTCAACTGTGCAACTACGAATACTGAAATTCTTTGGTCACGTCTCTAGAAATGAGAACTCGATGGAGAGACTGGTAGTTCAGGGCCAGGTGGAAGGCAGGAGAGCACGCGGTCGATCACCAACCCGCTGGATAGACGCCACCACGAAGGCCACTGAGTCCACCATGGTCCAATGTATTCGCGACGCCTCTAACCGTCAGAAATGGAAGCACATCGCCAGGAGAGCTACCCTCGGAGATAACATCACCCCACCATGTACCTCGTCAGCGCAACCACCACCACTCTGACAAGAGTGTCCGACTAAGAAGAAGAGAAAACTTTGCAGATATCTCATAAAGAACACTTGCACATCCCATAACTCTACCACTGTTTCGGGACGCTGATGTGGATCAGTGCTGAGAAGAAGCAGAGTAAGAAACTTCTCCGAGTTTCTTTTCTCAGTCTTTTATTTAACGATTTTATAAGATTATGTACTGGTGTGAACTACAAAGCTTGGAGCATCTTAATACATTTATTTCTTGGTCTGCTAACAGGTTAGAGTTCTGCTGATTTGGAATCTTAGATTAAAATCAAATGTTACATTGTCTACCTACAGTGCCAGAAACGTGGTGGTGACGTACAGTGGCGTATTTAGGGTTATTTACAAGGGGGCCAGGGTTTTAGGGTCAATTCCTTAATCAAACATCGACTCCACATCAACGAGTATTTTAAGCTATTGGCCATGTCCTACATAATATAATACAACCTGAATGTATTCCGGTCGCAAGGTCGCCGCCGCGTTTATGGGAGCGACGTGCTAATGTACTTCCGCCGCAACTATTGTGGCCAGTAACATGGCGAATACAACACTATATCAAATGATTGATTGCGTTTAGCACTGGTAATGTGATGGGTATGATAATTTGATCGGAGTAGGACCTAGGTAGAAAAAATGCGGGGATTTTGTGATATAAAATGGGATGTAGTTAGATATAAGGCCGAAAGCAGAAACTAGAGAGGCATCCCAGCAGTAAGCTAAGTTTTTTTTATAAGCTACTAAGTATAGGCGTTGGACATGTCTCAATCGAATCGACGGCTTCTCAGGCTACATTTCCACCAGAGATGTACGAGGATGCGTAGCGAGGGATGTGTTTGTAAAGAACCAATCAACCAATGGAATCGCTTCACTTACCTCGTCTCGGTAAAGGAATGCTACGCATCCTGGCACATCTCTGGTGGAAATGCAGTATTAATCTGGACTGAACCTGCCCAGTCCAGATTAGGCCATGCTATTGTATTGACTACGCCAGCTCTAACAAATGATCTACGGTGACGTGAACTAACAAGGACTGAATGATGGTAAAGTTTGTGAAGTAATCTATGGTATAGTGTCTTCCATGACGAATTTCTGTGGGAAAAGTGCTTTCCCTGGCTTTCTTCCATCGTTGTCGTCGTATTCTCGCTTTCTTTGGCCATATCATACTTGGAGACGACATCTGTTGAACGACTTTGTTGCAGTGGAAGATTGAAGGCAAGTCACCCGTGCGCTGGATTGGTGAGGTTAAAATCGCACTCAATGGTCCACTTTATGAGTGTACAAGAAGGCAATGTAGGAGGAATGGCGACGGATTGTATGACGACCACAACGACTCTGCCAAGAGTGCTACACTTTTCACTCTACACGAAGAAGAAGAAGCTATAGTAGTGTGATGAACTGACCGTTGTAGGCGGCGTGCGTGGACATGGGCATCCGCGCGCAGGCGGGCTCGCTCCCCGTGCGCTGGATACGGTTATGGTTACGGTTAAGTTGTGGACTGACGCGGAGCCCCAGTCGCGGTACACGCGCGCCTCGCTCCTCGTGCGCTAAGGTTACGGTTATGGTTACGGTTAAGTTGTGGACTGACGCGGAGCCCCAGTCGCGGTACACGCGCGCCTCGCTCCGTGCGCTGGTTACGGTTATGGTTACGGTAAAGTTGTGACTGACCGTTGTAGGCGGCGTGCGTGGACATGGGCATGCGCGCGCAGGCGGGCTCGCTCCCTGTGCGCTAAGGTTACGGTTATGGTTACGGTTAAGTTGTGGACTGACTGACGTGCGCTAAAGTTACGGTAAAGTTGTGACTGACCGTTGTAGGCGGCGTGCGTGGACATGGGCATCCGCGCGCAGGCGGGCGGGTGCGCGTGCGCGGAGCCCCAGTCGCGGTACACGCGCGCCTCGCTCTCCGTGCGCCACTCGCTCAGCTCCACGCAGCGGATCTGAGGACATAGGTTCTTATTAGATAGTTAATGATGTATTGTAATTGGCGGACTAAATAACGAGAGTTGTGACCAATCATATCCAAACTGAAGAGGAAAATAATGAAAGGTTAAAAATACACTTCTCTTGTCTCCTTTCTTCTCTGCTTCACGGGCTTACAAAATTGCGCAAACGCAGACACTTTGTGCCGAGTTGCTTCTAAAGCCCGGTCCGTGAGCACATAGAATTTTGTCCAATGACCCCTAGCTACCCATCCTTATCGCTCGCGCGTAATTATGTTGCTGTCGCGACTGTGCGAGTGGCACTTGCAGTGAGTGTTCGAGCGCGATAGCAACATAATTACGCGCGAGCAATAAGGATGGGTAGCTTGGGGTCATTGGACAAAATTCTACGTGCTCACGGACCAGACTATAGCATCAATCAACATTAGCATTACAACGACTCTGTTTGATGGTGTTCCGCGTCGGTAGTAAGAAGTAAACGTTTGCGTACTCCCTTATTCCGCCAAATTCTAGGTAGGTAGGTAGTTTCATAAGATTTCTGTCAAATGGATTTTGAATTACAGGCATTATTTTCAGCGACCCGAATAATCTTAGGGCCTATCAAATTATAATTCGACAAATAATGATTACCTACTGCTTATATTGACGATGTCACATTTGAAAAGAAATAACTCCAACTCACCGGCGTAGTGCTTTTGCTCCTGCCGCTGATCTCCGAGGACGCGTTGCTGTGTCCCTGCCGCCTCTCTCGCGGCCGCTCCAGCGCCGGCGAGTCTCTGCACGAGCCGTCGGGCTCGTCCCTCGTCTGTAAGCAAGGAAACAGTTCACTTTATGTTGGATTCTTAGTACCTACAGACACCAGTATATGAGACTATCGTTCGTTCGTTACAGTCGAATGACGTCCACTGCTGGACAAAATTTCCACAACGACCGGTCCTGCGAAAAAGGTCGATGGAGCGTACTATACTCGGAGTTTCCATGCGTGATCGAATCAGAAATGAGGAGATCCGCAGGAGAACCAAAGTAACTGACATAGCCCGCAGAATCGCTAAAATCGTGGCAGTGGGCGGGCACAAAGCTTGCAGAGCTGATGGCCGTTGGGACAGAAAAATTCTCGAGTGGCAACCACGAGCCGGAAGACGTAGTTTGGGTAGGCTCCCCACTAGGTGGACCAACGAACTGTTGAAGGTCGCGCGAGGTGCCTGGGCGGGCGGCGCAAGCCAAGACCGGTCGTTGTGTCTGTTGCAAAAGATGCTTTGAGTTTAGGTTTATATGCTGTAATCGGCACAAGGTTAAGGTACAAGACCGTCATTATACGAAAATGTGTTTTTTTAATAAAGTCATCTTACAATGTGTGCTGACAACAAAACTGGAAAAAGTAGGTTTTGTTTAGTGACACACAGTCTTCTAGTGGAAAATGATCGGTAAAGTTGTGACGGGCATGGGTTCACAAATAAAAGTTCATAAATATTAAGCCTCAAACAATAACACTACCTATGCCTAATTAAATATCGATTCATACTCATTGGATTATACCTACTTCAATTGACCTGTCAAGCAATTGGGTTTTAGTGTCAATATACAGGGTGTTTGGCGCATCGTGTGCCAAAATTATTTGGCGGATAGAATGGGTCATTTCCTATATTTTCAGCCCCCATAACACGTTCCATGCCAGGCGGCTACTTTTATATGATTTTTTTTAGTAATTTCACCAAAATACCCAAATCGTATCATTTAATTTCGATTTTAAAAAAACTACTAGGCATAGCCTCAAAGTAAATATTTTGTTTTTACGTGCATTGATGTAGGGTTGCATCAAATCTAAATTTACTGGCAAATATCATCTAGTTTTTTTTTAAATTCAGCTTTGAAGTTTTCCGAAAAGTTAAAAATGGACTGAACAATTAAGTTTACATGGCTATAATAAAAAAAATAAAAGAGATAGCGATCTTCGGATTTTATCAAAACTTTTCTAGTCTATCCCCATTCAAACGGTATACTAATCTTGTTTAAATAATAACAACAACTTCACAAATTCCTTAAATTAGTGCATTGACTCTACTCGGACTGATATTCAAATTTTGAATTTTGAACCTTTTTTTTACTTTATAATAAGTTCAAAGCAGGTAAAAACTTCAAAAAATATTTATTTTGAGGCTACACCTAGTAGTTTTTTTTAAATTGAAATTAAATGATGCGATTTGGGTATTTTGGTGAAATTACTAAAAATTAATATAAAAGTAGCCGCCTGGCATGGAATGTGTTATGGGGGCTTAAAATATAGGAAATGATCCATTCTATCCGCCAAATCATTTTGGCACACGATGCGCCAAACACCCTGTATTATCGTGGATCGTACCTCTTTTAATTTATTAGAGGAATGCTATAAATTATAGCTCCGAATACCCTTCGTCACTACCGAAGTGCGTTAACGAACGCGTGGGCACGCGCCGTACTTTAGTATTTATGTCAACATTAACATAAACAAATAATGCAATATTAACAGGCTACGTTACGGCCTGCCAATGACGCTTGAGGTGCATGTAGGTTATGTAATCACAAGCAAGGCTGAGGCGAATGATCTAAATCATCTAAGTGATTATACCGCGATGTTAATTGAGTTGGCATTGGTGGAATGTTACACTGCAAGTGTAATGTTCTGGTATTACTTATGTTACTTAATAACAATTAAAGAAACGAATTCGTGGCGCCACTTCAAACAAAGTTAGTGGAACCATTTATTGAAGAATTTAGACGCCTAAAACCAAATTCCTGAAAACCTGAAAGTAAAATTTTATGTTTCTTTGGAAGCACTTTGCTGAGCACATTTCAATTGAGTTGTCGTGTAGAATAAGAACCTGGAGGGTTCTTATTTTTATCTTTACAAACTCCTCTTTAGTCAAGTAGTTAGGGAATCTAATTTAGACAGTGCCTAAAAGTACATCAATTGATTGGTGATGGTGGTGTCTCTACCCAATTACAACTCCAACTTATCTTGTTACGCGGCACTGTGTGCGTGTGCTTGTAAATATTTACTGTTGTGTTAGTTATTAGCTATATTATATCTTACTTTGGTGTGATGCGTGGTGGTGGGCATGCTGGCGGCGCCGCTGCTGACGAGTCGCAGCTGTTGCCGAATGTTGGCCTTCTCCCTCGCGCGCTTGCGTTGGAACTCCTCTTCCACGCTGAAATAATGACCATTTCAGAGATTTTATTTTAAAAGTTGATAACTAAGCTGCAAGGCTAAACTCTTCATGTGTCTTTTGGGAATTAGATAGGGGGTGTTCCTGCAGTGGAGACTAAATGAGATTCTATCAATTTATTTTAAATTTTTCAAATAGAGACGACAGAACATGTCCTACATTTTTTAGCAAAATCGTTCGTATTATGCAGCAGCTTGACGTAACATACATTGACAATGCGTTGTCAGCTTCTTCCGCACCGTAGGCCGCTTGTCGCGCGGAGCGGTTGACGCGTGCAACAGTCTATTCGCTGGTATGCTCACCGTCTCATGGCATCCAGTTCAGTCCTGCGCTGTTGCTCCTTCAGGTCGGCCTCGTGGAGCACCTTCTCCGCTACAGCTGATGCGTGGGGCTTTTGACGAGCGTATTGTCTATTAAATAACATTCTTAGTATGCTCACCGTCTCATGGCCTCCAGCTCGGTCCTGCGCTGTTGCTCCTTGAGATCGGCCTCGCGGGACAGCTTCTCCGCTAGTTTTCTCCGCTCCAGCTGCCGCACCGTCGACTGGAACGTGAACCGCTTGCCGCGAGGAGCGTTTGACGTGCGCTGCGGAAGAAAGGTAACGGTCAAATAATGTGTAGGCTACATTATCAATTTGATGGTTGATTGTGTGACACTTGGGAATCGAAACCACCTTATAGCATACACCGAGCGTTTTACGTCAAAGGCTGAAGCAAGAAAATGAGGAAAACGTAGACAAACTTTTTAGGATAATTACCTACCCAACAGAAATCTTTAAAAATCTGTGTGGTTCCCGCGTAACGCATTATAAACGTGCTTCGTCTATCAATCGCACACTTCTTCCCAACTTAACGACATTCTGGTGAGAAAAAATCGGAATAGTAAGCAACAATACGAATATTAACCTAAAAATACCCAGCAAGTGCAGCGCACATGAGTCATTGTACTTTAACGCGATTTCAATATGATGGCCGGACAAAGACGTGATTTTCACACTTCACACAAAGGCCCAGCTGAGGTACAGCGGCGAAAGTAGACAATTGCATTAGGAATAAAGTTAGATGCAGTAGTATCCCTCCAAAAGGAAAAAATATCGAAATATAGCTCTAGAGTCTAGAGCTATACTTATTTCGATATTTTTTCCTTAGAAGAAGAGAAAAAGAATTAAAGAAATTATGGTACATTGTCTAGAGTCTAGACAATGTACCATAATTTCTTCTTTCTGTCTTCACTTATGGGTCTAGAAGCGATCACTTCACTGCCGATGTCTACTTATTTGATTTGCAATGGTAAGGAGTGGGCACTGTTGCATCTCTTAACTTTTCTTTTCAGATGCTGTTAGTAGACCTACCGCACACCCAACTCCACTATCTTTTCAAGTCTTATTACTGCGGAAAATTGTGTTAAGTTATTTTAGATACGAATAAGTTTGTGGTTAAACAGGTAGGTTCTCCTTTGTGCTACAACGCGCTATTTTGCTGGAAACCGGTCAGCGGATTTGGAGCGTGCGAACCAGATTTGTGATAAAACTAATTCGATTCGTGGACTGAAATGCTTACTAGAAATAGTGCAATAGTGCTGTCGATTTGGGGCATGTTTCAAGGATTTGAGATGACAGGACCATGGGGATTTGCATGCTGTTAATGGCTGCACGATTTAACTTGGCGCGAAACGAGCGCATTAATCATGGTTCTGAAATTGTATTGGTGACATAAATGGAGGAAATAACTATTTTGGAGGCGTATTGTTAGCATACTGTGCTAAAATAAGCGCTTTAAGGAGTAATTTACGCGCTATTATAACTGGTTTTTTGTGCGACTCTCTTCTGACTTCATCAAATTGATGTGTGTAGCGAAGGAAAGGTATCCAAATCTTAATCAGACAATAGCCTTGACTTGTGCCTGCTTAAAAATACTATAAACAACAACACGCCACAAACATCAACAGTTTTATCAAAATAAAGCATATTATGGTTTATAACATTTTGTGAGGAAGCCAGTGCGATAACGCGAGGATGTTATGGCTTCTGCACGATTAAGATCTGCATCCTCTGTTGCAAGCGACCTCTGACAGCGTTTCGGCTGAGTGACCTATTCGACGCACCGAGATATTAAAATGTTTGTTTACATCCTAAGATAAGAACGTAGCATAGTGGAAGCAGCACTTTGGCAGGAAGAAAATTATCAAAGTCATGAAATCCCCAAGCTCTCACATATTATGACTGCGTAACAAAATAATTGATTTGTCAAAATTTGTGTCTTGATTCCCGGGGTTTGAAGGGATAATAACGACATCTCAGGTCAGAAATAAGAAGTGGCACTAAGACCATTCTAACTTCTTATAAAAATTGGCAAAATCACAACCCATTGGCAACATTTACTGTAAAAGTAACTGACAAGCACGTTGACTGTGAAATTGCATTTTCATACCGTATTTTTAAGTTTATGGGAAATCCATATGAAAGTTAGACAAACAGGTTTTTATAAAAGCGTGAACATTAAAAACGTTAGTGTTGATCCGATTACAATCAGATATCACTTATCAGGACTATAACATGTATAATGGGCATTAATTGTTAATGAAACGGGCTCGAAGCAGATGGCCTCAAACGATATGTAAATAGTAAATCAATTAAAATGCATGCCGATCATGTTAGCTTTCAACACAAAATAAAGCCTGTGAGACGTGGCCCTAGTTTTGTATGGTTTTAGCCAACATTCTGCTGTTTGACAAACACTGTAATATTTGGTTTGGTTTGGAAATGCGATGCGTTTGCGCAGGTTGCGTATCAACATAGGAATTTGAGAGCTTGGCACCGACTTGAATCTTGGGAGTTTTTTCCATTCCCGTCTTTCTTAATAACCCATCTTAGCACATAAGAGTTCGTGCCCTGAGTAGTGGAGCGGTAGATACATGCAATTTTAAGTCCACCCTTACACATATTACGTGCATTTAAGTAAAATAAAATGAAGAGTAAGTAATATGCTTATGCATGCTCTTTAAACACTAGGTATTATACCACCACATAAATTATGTGCTGTACTGAGTAAACTGGATACCTTTGTGTCGTATTCTGTAAACAGTTCATGAATTTTTAACGACTTATTTGTTTGAAAACAACACGGGCCAGCCAGCCTTGAATATGTTGGGAAATAAAGGCTCGTTGTAAATATTTGTCATATTAAATCGACCTGTTTTGGGTGTATTTTAGTTATTTTCTTTAGTCCTTTTAAAGACATTAGGACGTTGCCTGTTTATTAAGTAGGGCCTTTTTAAAACAAATAATTGTCAGACTAATATTTGATTGATCTTTTGTCTTTAAAGTGTTGGCCTTAGCGAAGCAATGTTCATGTTAAAGTGTCCACATGAAAATGTTTATTGTCCGTCAGTATAAAACTAAGTAGGAAATATTCTTTTGATGTCAAATTGGTGTCGTCAGATAAAGGCCGAAACACTTGAAAATTCTCACAGAAATACCATCAACGCTGACAATGATGAGGAATGCCATACGATTTGGATCTTAAGCACGATAAGTACGTGTACCTGCTGTATTCAAAAGAAAAATATCGCACAAAACTCGAAAAACACAGGGCTATTGCTAGTAAAATATTAGGTAAACATTGATTGTAGCCGTTTCATGAAAATTCCTTTCGGGAAATGTATGATTTTCCCTGAATATATGGAATGTTTCGTTAATGTAAATTATGGATGCAAAGTATTAAACAAGTGCATACTGATTTGAGAAAAGAAATGTAGAGTCAAGTACTGGCAGATGACTACAAAAAGCAAAAACTTATGTATTTTGTAGAGCAACTGTCTTAGGAAATAATCAAATCATATAAACTTGATTTCTCTGTAAAAGTTTTCTTTAACATCTTATTTACATCCTGTATATTGTAAATAAGGTTTACTTGAGTCAAGCCAGCTCTGCATCAGGGACAAAGTACTCAGGTTCGAGTCTTGGCGTCACGTGCATCAAGATAGAGCACGCAAAATACATCTCGCTCGGGCACGCCCGGCTTTATTGGCGAGCCGTGATGTTGCCGGGAATGCGATCTAATGACAAGGAACTGCACATGTCCCATAATAAAGTTCTGATTTGCTGATAGTCACCGTAACTAAACAATAAAACAATTGGGTACCTACAACTGAAGTCATCAACGGAATTTATTAGCTATCGTAAGGAAATGATCAAGGAGTCAATTTTACGTTACAAGTATACAAATACGTAATCGTAAACTCTATGGTTTATTAAAGTATAGAGTTAAAGAGTTTACGAGGAGGATAATTGATAGATTCACTCAATAATATAAAATTTCGATTTAAAAGTCTTTTTCTACGAAAATGTGACGCAGTGATACTACTTTTTCCCGATTCTTTCTTGCTATGTTAGGTTTAAAGAACATTTATTTCTCATTAAAAACATTACAGTCACTTACATGAGAAATTAACAAATTTTATGTAGGTAGGTAGATAATTTACAAGTTGTCTAATAGCCAGAACAAGCAGATGTACTTCTGCGGGAACTTGTGTTCCCGTGCCACAAGGCAAAAGTAATTAACGGAGATCCGTGAAAATCTATCAAATCATCTCAAATTGGTATTGCCATCGCTACAAAATGGACAGTTACACGATTTACTCGTATAAAGTGAACTGTCGCCTGTCGTCTACAGTTGCCGGCAAATCGCAGTGGACATGCATTGTGAAAGTGGCACCGTAATATCATAACAATGCACTCGCCACCTGACTTCTATATGTAGACCCCACACAGTGTTACATATTGTTTGTTATTATGACATCAATTTGTTTTGAAATAATGTCTTGTAGTTTTTTAACTAATTCACCCAGAAGGTACATTGTTATGGCATATGCAAAAAGAAGATAAACAAGTGCATTCATATGATCGCAAAACATAATAATTAGTTCTCGTTAACTTGTAAACAAAAAATATGCGTCAGTCCCATGACCGCCAAATGTTTTGAAGGGTCAAAAAATAGTAGGTTATTTTAAGGACTGGGTACGAAGAACACAAACAACTACGCAAGTTGATATTTTTAAAACCCTAACCACGAGACTGTGACCAAAGAACGTTACCGGCTTTTAGTGACAAACTAAACTGTTCCTTAGTAGCAGTTTTTAATTGTATTCATTTTATTCTTCTCTCTTGTCGGCCGTTTGGTGTAGTGGTTCAGAACGGACTACTATGCCGAGAGGTCCTGGGTTCGATTCCCGGCCGGGCAGAAATTGAAATGATGAATTTTAATTTCTGTGATGGGTCTGGGTGTGACCTATGTATAATATGTATGTATTTAAATACAAAAAAAGTATATAAGTAGTACATCCGTTAAGCTAGCACCCATAACACAAGCATTAAGTTGCTTACTTTGGGTCTAGCTGGCGCTGTGTGAAATTGTCCAAAGATTTATTATTATTATTATTATTCTTGATCACGATCTCATAAAAAATATTATTTTCAAAACAATCTTGTTTCAACGCATCAAATCAAAATTCAATTTAATTCCTATGGCTCCACCAACACTGGTCGTGCCCCGCGCATCGCCCCGTGTCGCATGCGCTTGCGCAAC